GCTCCAGCCAACAGTGGAGAATCTCATTCTGCTATTAGTGAACCTAATAAACCTTGAAAATATTGTTGATATTTTTGTTTCAGAAGACAGAAGAAGCATTTAACTAAATCTCAGCCTCACAGAAGGGAAGTACTTTGTAAAGCAGAAGAGATTGGAACTAAGGAAAAAGCAATCATGGTTATCTTAGCTTTGATGATACTAGAGAAGGAACACTGAGCATAGTTGAGATACGTATCCACAAAGAATTCTGAGGAAAGAGAGACAGGATCATGAGAGAAGATCTAACAGTTTGGGAAAGGGGAGGGTTGCGGGTGGGAGGGACGGTATGGGGGGGAAACCATTGTAATCCATAAGTCGTACTTTGGAAATTTATATTCTTAAAATAAAAGTTAAAAAAAAAAAAGAAGATCTAACAGAAGAAGATGACTGAAGAAGTCTCCAAGTGCACAAGTGAAATTATTTTATTCAGTAATAAATGCTCCCTGAGTAGCTGCCTTATAAAAATTTGAATACATAGTAAATACAAATAAAAGAAATTCATCACCAAAAGGTATAAGGTAATTGCTCTCCCCCTTTGATTGCCTACTAACTTTACTGTGCAAAGAACTGGGCCTCATTCTAAGAAATTACTGTCTAGTTCTGATTAGAGACCTAACCTTACAAGTGGAATCAGTGTTACTCTGTTTAACTCACTACAATCTGTTCAGTGCTAATCAGTGTTATTGATTTTTATCTTGCAGTCAAATTGGAAAACAACACAATTAGTGAATGGAAGTTAGTCTGGCTTAACTGGCAAAAATACATGGAGGGGCAAATACATACATCCTATGTGCATTGCAGCAAGTAATATTAACTATAAAAGATCTAATTAGTTCATCAAGTAGAACTAGTAGGAACACTGCAATGATGGTACAACAATTTGCCAAACACTCAGATTTCCTTAGAACATTTGTTAAAAGACAGAGGGATAAAACCAAAAAGGAATGAACTGCAGTCAGCCTTCTGCATCTGTGGGTCCCATATGTGTGGACCCAAAATATTTGGGAAAAAAATTTTTTGTCTCTACTGAACAAATCTGCCAAGGCTTTTTCTTGACATCATTCCTTAAGCAATACTGTATAACAATTATTTGCAGAGCATTTACACTGTGTTGGGTGTTGTAAGCAATCTAGAGGTGATTTAAAGTATACAGGAGAGTGTGCTTAGGTTCTGTGCAAACACTTTTGCCACTTTATTAAGGGATTTGAGCAATGAGCATTTTGGTATCCATGGACCACCTCTCCTTGGACAGTACTAATACATATAAATGACAGTACTAATACATAGAAAAACATGGATTAATTTCAAAAACTTGCTAAAAAAACAAGCCAAATACACACTCATAAAATATGCTCCATGATTCCATTTATATAAAATTTCAGAAGAAGAGTTTATCTAGAGAAGTAGTTTCTAGGGAAATTTGGCTCTCCAAAAATGTCTGGAGACATTTTTGGTTGTCACAATAAAGGTGGGAGGGGTAGAAGCAACTGCTACTGTTATCTAGTGGGTAGAGGCCAGGGATGCTGTTAAATTCTAATGTGGGGAAACTAGGCAGGAAGATTAGGTAGGAATAGGTGTGCTGGAACTAACTGCATTGTAATTCTATCCCCTCACCTGTGGGTTTACTATATCCACCTTCCCAGGATGCACCTGTGTCTCATCCAGGACCAGGAGGAAGGAGATGCCACGACTGCCACACAGAAATTAAATTCCATGAAGAGGTGCCATGAAAAATCTCAGAGGGCCTTACCTTATCTTATAAAAGATACTGATAACATGTGAGGAATACCTTTTCACTTTTGACCCTTTCTGAGGATCCCTCTAGAGCCTCTTCCTCCCCCCATCTCTTTTTCCAGGCAACTCTCTGGTCTACTTGGTGACAGCTATCTCTGTGTGTGTGGCTCACATTCCTAAGTTGAATGTATGCTCATTCTTTCTTTTAAATATGCTTTATTCTTATCTCTGTGAGGGCAAGAACCTGGAATAAAGATTAAGATACCTAGGCCTGCAACAATTCTATAACCCACAGGACAAAGAATTATCAGGTCTCAAATGTGCATATACCCAAGTCCAGGTTGAGAAATCCTGTTCTATAGTGATCATTAGTGGTCTAGTAGTGAGAGTAGGGCTATGAAGAGTAAAGAATAAAGAAACTAAGGGAATAATAAAAACATTTCAGAGTTTAATTGTGGGGCAACTAATTCATTTGTCAAACCAATCAAGTTGTACTCTTAAAATGTGTATATTTTATTGTATACAAATTTTACTTCAGAGTTGATGGTAAAAAAAAAAAGCACCTATCACAGAACATAAAAACTACGTTAAACATTTTAATCGAACTTTTCTTTTTTTTAAACATATGTAGAGGGGTTGGGCATTTGGCATAGTGGTGAAGTCACCACTTGGGACACCCACATACCTTCACAGAGAGCCTGGGTTTGAGTTCTGCTCACTTCTAATCCCAGCTTCTGGGTGATGTGTACCTTAGGAGGCAGCAGGTGACAGCTTAAGTATTTAGGTCCCTGCCTCCCACTTGGGAGACAGGGATTGAATGCTGTGCTTAGGCCTAGTCCAGTCCCAGCTATCAAGGACATTTGGAGACTGAACCAGAAGATAGAAGATTGCTGTCTATCTGTCACTGTCTGACTCTCTGCCTTTCTAATCAAATACAAATAAATTCATATATATATGTACATGTGTATAGAAAAGATAGGAAAGGCAAGTGTCACTGGTGGGATTATGGGTAATTTTTGTCTTTTTCCTATTTGCTTTAAATTAAAAAAGTAATTTCCATATTTTTGTATCTCTGTATCTCCAGTACCTAAAACAGATCCAAATAAGAAGATACTAGAAAAGCACAGTTGCAGGCCTGGCATTGTGGCAAAGTAGGTAAAGCTGCCAGCTGCAGTGCCGGCATCTCATATGGGCGCCTGTTCAAATCCCAGCTGTTCCATTTCCAATTCAGCTCTCTGCTATGGCCTGGAAAAGTAGTGAAAGATGGCCTAAGTGCTTGGGCCCCTGCACCCATGTGGGAGACCCGGAAGAAGCTTGTAGCTCCTGGCTTCAGCCTGGCCCAGCCCTGGCTGTTGTGTTCACATCTAGGGAGTGAACCAGTACATGGAAGATCTCTCTCTCTGTCTCTCCCTCTCTCTGTAACTCTGACTTTCAAATAAATAAATAAATCTTAAAAAACAAAAAACATAGGGGCCAGTGCTGTGGCTCAGCGGGTTAATGCTCTGGCCTGTAGTGCTGGCATCCCATATAGGCACCAGTTCTAGTCCTGGCTGTTCCTCTTCCGATCCACCTCTCTGCTTTGGCCTGGGAAAGCAGTGGAAGATGGCCCAAGTCCTTGAGCCCTGGCACTGGCTGGGAGAACGGAAGAAGCTCCTGGCTTGGGATGGGTGCAGTTCTGGCTATTGCGGACAATGGGGAGTGAACCAGTGGATGGAAGACCTCTCCTCTCTCTGTTTAACTCTGACTTTCAAATAAATAAATAAATAAATAAATCTTAAAAAAAAAAAAAAACACAGCAGATAGGAGCATAATTCATTCAGTTTGTTCAATGGCAGGCTAGAGCTGAGCAAAATGTGAGGGATACAGTTAGTCAAGAACTATGGAGACAAATAATTGTCAACAAATCAAACACAAACGAGCTAAAGGTGATGATGGAGGTTTCAAAGAAATACAATGGAAGAACCAAGCAACTGACAGGATTTACAAGGTGACATTTGCGATGCGCCCTGATGAAGCACTTAGAGCTTGTAAGGGAAAATCATTAGATAATTTAGAAATCTTTAAAAAAAAAACTTACATAACAATTTTGCTACACTGCTCTTTGTCACATTATATGGTTCTTAATGTGAGCAATGAGCAAACCTTTTCCTGAAGAGGAAGACTATCCTACGTACTGAGTAAATTATATATGATGAGAAAACACTACTTCCAAGAGGGAAATGTGCAAAGGATTAATCTTGATGCAGCCTCTGCACTTCCACTGCATCTACACCTACATTTGGCAATTTCTCCGGCATCATTCAATAGTAGAGACAAAAATAATCAATGAGACTGCAGTTTTGAAACTAACATTTGTTAGTAAATCCAGTTGGTCTCTTACAACACACTAAAACATCTCAAGCCATCAGCAAGTGAAAACCAAAGATGCCTACCCAAAGGGGACACTGGAAATCCTATAGTAGTACATCCTTGACATGATCTAGCTTTTTAAACCCTAAGAAACACTTATAGGTATATGAATGGGGTAGATAATTACTCTATTCTGCTAAAAAAATGATTATATCAAGGTAACAAGTAGATTCCTATCTTCTGAGAGAAAAAGCCCTGCAAGGTGGTGGCAAGATGACTGCAGGCAGAACCTGTCTGTCCTGCTCCTTCAATTTCCTGTCATTTTGAACACTACTGAAATCAAGGCATTGCAACTGAATTACACCGACTTTATTTAAACAGAACAAATGTTATGCAGCAAAAAACAAAACAACAAAGACCAGTTCTTGAGTGAGAAAGTCATCCCAAAGACAAAGGGTTTTAAGTGCATTTGACTTTGCAGAGAGAGAGAGAGCAAAACATTTCCTATTCGTTTCTCCCTCTTGACTGGGGAGCAAAGAATTACTGCGGGCAATTGAAGGGATACAATTTCCTGGTAGTGACTGTAGAAAAACAAAATGCTTGAAGCAATCAGCCAGTTTCCGAGGGAGACTTCTGGAGACCCGTAACAGCCAGCAGACAAGGAACTCTGGATGTGTTTATAGATAACGACACCGATAAGGGAGCCAGGCGCAAGTGCAACGCCAGCCAAGGACTGGAGGCAGGCGGAAAAACAATCACTGCCGATCCTCTGGCTCCCGCCCCAAAAGACCACCCCCACAACACCCGCCCAGAAGCACCCCTCTCCCCACAGTAACTCCTTAAATCCTGCCAGAGTGTGGCAGGTTGCTTCCACTTACTGAGCTGTCCCCCGCCCGACGTGGTACTAGGTTCCCGACCTCCAGCGCTTCCAAGGCCGGCTGCTCCAGGGATACCCGGCGGCCCCATCCCCGGCGGGGTCCCACTCTGCCTCTCGAAGTTGCCTGGGTTGGAGAAGTAGTCGCGCAGCCGCGGCAGCTCGCGGCCGCTCTCTAACAGCTCCGTGTGCAGCTCCAGGGCGGTCAGCAAGTATTGATCGCGCAACAGCTGAGCGGCGATCGCGTCAATTGACAATCGCGCTGGGGTCTCCCCGGAGCCCCCCAGGGCCGCCGCCGCCGCCGCCTCCCCAGGGAGCCCTGGCCGCACACTGCTCCCTAAGGCCACGGGATCCTGTGGCGATAGCGAGCCCGCAGAGCCAGGATCCAGGCCACCCCCGGCTCCTAGCCGAAGTCCTGCCCGCCGCTCCTCGGTGGCCGCTACCTCTTCGTCGTCCTCGTCTGAATCGCTGAGGAATGGATTCACGCCGCCGCCACCACTACCACTACCTCCAGGCGCCATCGCCGCCATTTTATCCTGTCAGGATTGTGGGCGCCTCCCTGACTCTGACAGGCCGCAGCCTGAATCCACTCTACGCCTCAGCGGGCACTGCGCACCTTCACAGCCCTGGCCTGACTACGTCCCGCCTCCACACTTGGAGATCCGGCTCAGGCTCGCAGGCAAGAGGTCCGGATGCAGCAGCACCAGCTGCCTGAGCCGCCGCTGCACCAGCAGCCGGGCTCTGCAGGCGTCTTCCTGGTCTCCAGTATCGCGAGACCTGGCGCGTGCCCAGCCTCTCTCCCTGCCTTGGCCCCGCCCCAGCACGCCTCTGCCCCGCCCCTTCTCAGCGCCAGAGAGCAAAGATTGAAAGACCCGCTCCTCGCTCAAAAGGAAAACCCCGCCCCTAACTCCTCCGTGATTGGCTGGAGTGCCTGGGGGCGGGGCCTGGCCCGAGAATGATCGCGAGAGCAGCTACGGCCCGGTAGGAGTAGGGGGCGTTCCATGGTTAAAGCACAAATGCGGTGGTGGGTGACGGAGAGCGTCTTTTCTGTCGTATCGCGGGGCAGAAAGCCTTGCCTGAGAGGTTTAATGCGCTGGGTGCTGCCTTGGCGCTGAGGAGGCCTCGTTCCTGAGCTCTGGGCTGTACCGGAAAGGCTCCAGGTAAAGTCCAGGGAGCGGTGCGATGAGGCGCGGCGGCGTGGAAACTGGCCTCGCGCCTCGCTGCCCCCTGGTGCGCTGCACTTCCTCGCTGCCTGCTGCCCGTGGGCATCTTCTCGGCACAGGTAGCGAGTGCTCGGGGCAGGACTCGGAATTTGGCTTTGCCCGGGAGGCCTGGCGACAGCGCCTTCGGGGCTCGGGCTTGGTCCTCTGGGATGGGTGGGTGGTGCGGAGGCCACACCGGGTAAGGAGTGCTCAGGCCTGAATGTGCCTGGATCTGTGAACACCGTCGACCTGGACAACTGTCAGGTGCGCAGTAAGCACTTCGTAAGCACTGGCCCAACAGCAGCTCTTCAAAACTGCCAAATGCTGTCCCACCCTTAGGGAGAGAAGTAGGCTTGAGCCTGTGGAGGCCAATGACCGAGTCAGGTCAACCCCTCTAATGCATGTTCCAAGGAACTGACATCGGTTGTGAACGTCCAAAGCCATTCTCTCTCCTTTATGCCCTGCAGTCTGTCTCATTCGGTCATGTAAGCGAGAACCGAGGTTTTGATTTTGGAACATGGCTTTTAAAAGTTGGATGCTTTAAGGAGTTTTGATTTCCTTTATCAAACATTAGCACATAAAATAAATTTGGAAGGACAGAGTTTACCTTTTTTTTTTTTTTTGGTAAAGATCTATTTATTTATTAGAAGTTAGAGTTACTGAGAGAAGAGAGAGAGCTTCCATCTGCTGGTTCACTCCTTAGATGGCTGCAACGGCCAGGGCTGGACCCAGCAGGAGCCAGGAGCTTCATCTGGTCTTGCATGTGGGTGGAGAGGCCCAAGGCCGTCTTCTGCTCTTCCCAGGCTGTTAGCAGGAGCTGGATCAGAACTGAAGGGCTTGAGTCTCCACCCAAGCCGCGGCTTTACCACAAACGCCAGCCCCTAAACTGTTATTTCTGATCTCTTCTATTTTCTTCACATATGAATTGCCAGCATTGCAAATTTTAAATTTCTTACTGTGTAGCTACTAATAATCAAAAATAAATAGACAGAAGTAATGCTGACTCTCATATTAAATTGAAGCAGTAAGTTATCTCCTTTAGGTCTGTGGAGAGATTAAAATAGAGCATTCTTATATAACCTTAGGTCAGGTTATTGGTTTACATGTAAAAGTATGCCGATAGGTAAGTGTAGCCTTCAATTTCAGTTTACTCAGGCTCAGTAAACTAAATTTCATTTGAATGAGATTTTGGGGGTTTTATTTCTTGCTAGAAGTTCTTTAAAAATAGTAGCAAGAATTTAAAAGTATTTTTTATGAAATATTAGCTTCTGATGTTCTTATGCCAAATATTTTTCTGTGCTATTATTGAAGAAAGACTTCAAAAAGAGAAAATGAAATTAGGGAAATAGTTTCAAAATGGCCAATACTATATCCTGTTACGTATTTCTTAACAAAAGGAATTACCAAGCCTTATTTTAATTGAGTTTGCTGGGGAGATTAAAAATGAAGCCAATTTCTGGAACAGAGGATTGAGTAGTGAATGGAATGGTAATGGCAGCATTAAAATGGGATTGTTTATATAAAATACTTCTGTCTCCATAATGGGGAATCTTAGAAATATCCTGCAGTTAGGATTCCTAAAGAGGATTGTACTTATCAGCAAGAACCTCAATTCATATCCCAACCCTGTCAATTATTTGTTGTATGAGACCTCGAAAAACTACCTGATTGCTCCCAGCCTCACTAGCACACATTTGTCGAAGAGGGTAGTGAAAGTATTCAGAATTATGAGTATTCTGGTCATGATGCCTGATAATGTGGTATGCAGTAAATGTTGCTATGGGCAATTTTTAAAAAGATTTATTTGTTTGAAAGGCAGAGTTAGAGAGAGAGGGAGAGACAGAGAGAGATCTTCCATCCACTGACTCAGTCCGCCAGTGAAGCAGTGGCCAGGGCTGGGCCAGGCCAAAGCCAGGATCCTAGAATTCCATCTGGGTCTGCCACGTGGGTGTGGGGGTCATTTGCTGCTGCTTTCCCAGGCCATTAGCAGGGCGCTGAAGTGAAGCAGCAAGGACTTTGTGTCCATATGGGATGCCAGGATTGCAGGTGGTGGCTTAACCTGTTATGCCACAATGCCAACCCCTATGGGCAATTCATAATTAATGAAATGTTAGTATATATTGAGAATACTTGAAAGGTTCTTAAACATAAATACCAACTGTTGCCATAGGAAAAGTCTGGAAAAGTAATCAAGTGAGTAGGTCTAATTTTCGGACTGAGTATGCAAATTGACAATAAATTTAAAATTTTTTCTTAGAGACTTATAAAAGTTAGACATACAAATTTTTAGATGACATATCTAAATACAAACCTGTAGTTTTCTCCTTCTATTTGCTGTCCTGTAACTGTGAACTTGTTATGTGACCTTGTAAGCCTGTAAGAAATCAGCTGGCGAGTCTTCCCAGCAGGTGCTTTCCCCCACTCTTCACAGCACATAGAGGTTTGGTTATCAATTAAAAATGTATAAGACGTAGCACACACACTAGAATAGTAATTGCTGATCTCTACTTATCTTAATTTATTATTGATAGTGTTGGGGAAATTTCCTTGCTAACCTAAGAAGATTTGCATTAATCTAGGCTGTTACAGCTAATGTGTCATCTGAATAATAAGCATAGTCATTGAAGTTTGTACCTTACAAATGAGAATATAAAATGTTTTCCCCACAAACATTTTGGTATTATAGTGTTTAAGAAATCATTTTTGGGTTTAATAATTTTTACTTTCAATTTTTTAAAAAAAGATTTTATTTATTTATTTGAAAGAGTTAAAGCAAGAGTGGGAAAGACAGAGAAAGAGAGAGAGATCAATCTCCCATCCACTGGTTCACTTCCCAGATGACCACAAAGGCCAAGTCTGGGCCAGGCTGAAACCAGGAAGCTGGAGTATCTTTCAGATCTCTCTGGGTGGCAGGGGCCCAAGCACTTAGGCCATCCTCCTCTGGTTTTCCGAAGTCATCAGCAGGGAACTGGATTGGAAGTAGAGCATCCAGGAATCAAACCAGCTGCCCATATGGGATGCTGCCGTCCCATGCACTGTCTTTATCTGTTATACCACAGTGCCAGCCTGGCTTTAATAATATTTACATAACCACAAATAACAATGTTAATACAAATTTGGATTTAAAGTTTTAGTAAATTCTGCCGGGCGCTGTGGCTCAATCCTCTGCCTTGCCGCGCCGGCACACTGGGTTCTAGTCCCGGTCGGGGCGCCGGATTCTGTCCCGGTTGCCCCTCTTCCAGGCCAGCTCTCTGCTATGGCCCGGGAGTGCAGTGGAGGATGGCCCAAGTGCTTGGGCCCTGCACCCCATAGGAGACCAGGAGAAGCACCTGGCTCCTGCCTTCAGATCAGCACGGTGCGCTGGCTGCAGCGCACCCGCCGTGGCGGGCCATTGGAGGGTGAACCAACGGCAAAAAGAAGACCTTTCTCTCTGATTCTCTCTCTCACTGTCCACTCTGCCTGTCAAAAAAAAAAAAAAAAAGATTTAAAAATAAAGTTTTAGTAATATCAAATGTGTGTGTGTGGTAAATATTCCACAGTTATAAGGTAGACAGCTTTTATAGGTATATGGATATGTCTTTTAAAATTTTGATAGTTATGCATTTCCAAATGAAATCATGGCAAAAATTTTTTCTTTAAATAAATATGAATGAAATATGGTTATCTTTAAAGAGAACCATTGAGTAATAGCATTGTTTAATATACATGTGCTTGGCAATAATAAAATATGTAGTATGTGAATGTTGTTATTTTGCAATCACTGCAATTTTTTTTGTATATTAAATTACTTAAGCGTAAAAGATGTAAGCTTTTGTTTGTTTCTAAAGTATGTGAACCTTAACTGGTCTGATTCTGGAGAAACAAAAAGATAAACAAGACAACCCCTAGTGGCTGTAGTGTATATTGCATTTACCTTTGAAATGGCAGTTCTAATAATTTATTCAGCAAACCTTTGAGTCTGCCCTAAGCATTTAGGACTGTGATGGATGTTGGAGGTGCCCTATCCTGCTGTCATGGAATTAGGGTGAAATGACAGAGACAGTTGTTAGTCCAAATAGTCAAATATGTAGCTTCTTAATTACAGACTAAAGGCTTTGGTTTCTGAGTTAGCCTTCATAATCCCTGAGGAAGTGAGACTTAAAAGGACATATTAGAGTCAGTGGGTAAGAGGCTGGAAGGAGAGGTTGGAAGCTCACTCTGTGTAGAGGAATTGTAGCTAGGAGAATCTTCCAGTGGTGGGGAGCAGGGGTACTTGAAGAAATAGAGAAAGGCTAGCGAGGTGAGATACCATACAGCAAGGAATGCTGTGAGCAAGATTAGAAGAGGCAGAGACCAGTCTGTGCGAGATCTTATTAGTCATGTTAAGGATTTGAATCTTAATTAGGATGGGAACTAGCACTACAGGGTGTTATCCAAGGGATGAGATGTTCAAATTTACATTTTGAAAAAAGAAAACGTAATACTGCAGTTACATGGCAAGAAATGGATCACAGTGGGTTCATAGGGAGATGTCAGTGCATGTGCAGTAGCAGAGGTAAGAGATGATACACATCTTAGACTAGAGGGGTGGCAGTGGAGAATAAGACAAATGAATACATCCAAGAAAGGCAAATGGGCGTGATTGGTGGATTAAATATATGGGGGGAGAAGGGAATAGTGACTGATTTCTAGTTCTCAGACTTATGTAGTTGGGTGTAAGGTGGTGCCACCTCTTGGGATTGTGAACACTATGCATTTAGGGGAATAGTAGACAAAGCTCTTGGGGGATATTATGAGTTAGGTTTTAAACAAACTCAATTTGGGTGTCTTTCAGATATCCAAGGGGATTTATCAAGTTTGGAGTTATATAAAGGATTTGGAGCTATAGTTTGTTGTGACTTTAACATATAAGTAATGACTGAAGCCAAGGATACGATTCAGTGTGCCAGGATAGAAACTATAGGGTAAGAAGAGAAGAT